ACTGTGTTCACCAGTTCATATGCATGTGCAGAAACACATTGGAAGGACATAAAAAAATGTTACCATCCGCATCTCTGAGCACTCTCCTCAGACACTGCATGCTTCCAACAACGCATTCGCCAGTCGGCTCTATTTGGTAATGGATGCAATGATATTTCAAAATTACTCAAAATCATCAATAGTTCAACGAAATATTGCATTTTGCAGAAGCTACCAATATTAAAAGGCTTAAACATTAATCATGCATTTAAAAAGAAACTGTTGTCAGTCTTGCACTGCCCTAGTGATCTAAATTTTCAACACTCGGTTATGTACTTTGTGTTCATAATCATAAATTTATTTTCTTCATTCCTTCTTGAGTCTCTTCTGAGCTTAACTTATAATCAATCCATCTTTAACGTTGCGATTACACAACGCAACTTTAGTATTTAAGTAACCTGGCTTTTGCCTCAGTTATATCCGAACATAATATTAAAATATACAAACTCTTTTTTAACTCACTACTTTTGCTTAAATAGAAAGTATAAACGTCAGGAAAAATCTCAATAACACGTTAACCAAAGCTTTTACAAATGATGATTCAAAATAGTAACTAAGATCCACTAGTAGCCCAAGTATACAATCCTTTTTGCAGAACAACTCCAAGTTATTTAGAGGGCGACTAAGTGATCCCAAAGATGAAGTCATAAAAACTAGAAGCTATATAAGCCTGAGTCACCAACTTCAAAGTATCGAAAGGCAATAAAACTATTTGAAATCTAGTTTTAGAAACATTCCTGTGAAATAAAACTACAATAGAAGGAAAAACTGAAGTTGTTAAAAGTTTATGGACCAAACAACCAGTTAGCTACTAAAGGTTGGATAGAAGAGAGAGGATATAAACAAATGCTATATGTTTACTGCGATCATATCCCATAAAACATCTACAGTTCCATCCCTGACATTGTCTATGTTATATCGGGACGAGAATAAACGAATGATAACCATTAGGAATTATTTACGGACTAATATTATACGTAAAATCTTATTGTATGGCTGTCAAGTAACTATATTATATGTATATTCATATTCCTTTCATTATAAGCTTCAATTTGACCAACTGACTATTATCATACGATTTTCCGTTCTTGAGATATTCCTAATTTGTTAGTAACAATCCCTCACAATTACAACCACTTTTGACTTGGTCTCGTACAAATGTTATTTTACGTTTTATGGTGTGATGTGATCTGATTTTGCTAACATATAAACCAAGTACGTTTGAAATACATGATTCGTATGGTGGAGGCTGAGAATGGCGTTCTGGATTTAGGGTGGGAACACTAAGTTGTTCGTACTGGTGTATGCGTCATTCGTTTGATCGTATAAGTCAGCATATTTGGCGATCGTATTTCGCAATAATCTTATAAGCTAATGATATAACAGTCTACCAACAAGAATATTAACAGGATAAATAGCAAAAGAGTCGAAATAATGTATTAAAAATGGCAATGAGAAAAACTAAGCATTGAGAATATGGTTTTAAAATACAGGGTGGAAAGGTAAGTATGAAGGAATACTTGAACTCAAGATCCAGAAGATAGAGCAAGTGCATCTGCGTCAGTATTAGATATAACAATATGGACCTAATGTACATTTATGCCAGGTTCTGTGCTGATTATTACTGACCAAAGAAAGATAATGGCTATTCGGCAGCTTCAGCCAAGTAGTACATCAATTAAACTGCAGAAATTAAACAAGAAACACTTACCGGGGATACTTGACGGTGTTGTAGTAGTGTTTTCTGAAGTTTCCATTCAAAAACTTATGGTATAGTAAGGAATAAGCGACGATCTTTAAAAGAAACAGCTCTATATGTGAAAAGTCTGAAAGGCGAGAACAAGAACATTAAGAATAAGCTACTCATATTTGCAGAATACTTGGCACGTAACCAAAAAGGCTGTATATATATTTAACAGTCTTCACCTACGAAGACTATTACATTTGACTACCAAGTCGATCGAAGAGTTTAAGCGTAAATTACTTTTATTAGTACATCTGCAACAAGTGATCAGAAGTATATCGTGGGGAGAAGCTGCTCATTCTACGTTCATTGCTTGGAAGTAAACATTTCAATAATGTGAAACCCTTATTCAGTTCTATTTTAGTGAGACAGACAAAACCTTAAGTTCGACGTCCAACGTCACAAATAACTTCAGAAATGTAACTATGCTCTTTCGCGAGAAGTAACAGACGTAGGTAAGTAAGCTAACAATGACAGCGGAAAACCTGCAAGAGAGGGGAGTATGACACAATGAAGAAACTAGAAGAGGACTATTGTAAACAAGAGCAACCAGTCGAGAACAGAGAAGATAAGCCAATCACTGAGATTCAAGAACAGTGGGACAGGTGGGTTGAATACTTTGATGAACTCTTGAATAGGCTAGTTCTACTAAATTCACAGGAAATCGAGGCAGTACAGAGTCCTTTCCATAGCTGCTACTCCACTAACGATCGAAGAAATCAACACGACCATCAGGCAAATCAAAATTGTGGAAAAATCAGGACGTGGAAACCTATCAGCTGAAGCACTGAAGTCAGAAAGAAATAACTGCAAAGACGCTCCACGTTCTATTTAGGAAGATCTGGGAGGAAGAACAAGTCACGACAGACTATAGAGAAGGACACTTGAAAAGATACCAGGTAACAATCTGAGTAAGTGTGAGAACTACAAAGGAATCACACCATTGTTGATACCAGGAAATTTTCACGTACTGTTTAGTAGACGTCCAAAATCGGAATCAACAAGTCTGATTCCGTAAGGATCGGTCGAGCATAAAGCAAATTACAACACTACAGATCGTCGTTGAACAATACACTGAATGGAACTTGTCATTATATATCAACTTCCTTGACTGTGAGGCGTTTGAGAGCGTGCATAGAACATTATGGAACCTTCTTCGACACTATAGTCTACCTGAGATCGTCAACATCATACGGACTTCATACAACAGACTACACTGCAAAGTGGTGCATGACAGACAGCTGAAAGTCGCATTTCATGTAAGGAACGGAGTCGGATAAGGCTGCTTACTCTCCTACTTTCTCTTTCTTTTGGTGGTTGACTGGATTATGAAAAGCTCGACATCTGAAGGGAAGCACGGAGTACAATGGACAGCTCAGCCCGATGTACACTGTAATGACAGAAGAACGGGCTTCCACTAGTTTTATTGAGTATATTTACAGAAACTGGTAACTCCAAAGGTAAAACGGCCTCGATAGTTTGACAGCATGCCGGTGCATGAAGTGCATTTAAGGTGATCAACAAACAACCCAACACAACTATATTAAAACTGATGGAAGCTTCAGTTATCGGAATGCTTAAACCTGATCATTAAAGAGTCAGTAAATAATCTTCAACTGTCTTGATAACAAAAGTGAACTACACATTTTGACTTGACTATAATCAGTTTAAGCTTAACCAATGTTCAATTTCTTCCCAAATACTCCACTTCCTTGTCACATTGTACAGTAGAATTATCTTGAATATTCCAGAACCACCCCGAGCAATTAAAACTGTTTCACAAAGCGAAAAACTTATTCCTCACTGAAGGACAGTTTACTTTTCAAATTTAATGCTATGGTAAATGACTGAGCTTAATAAATTGTATGTAGCTGAAGACAGCAATGAGGGACAGTGGACTTATAGTATTCGGTAAGTACTGTTGCTCTATCCGTTTAAACCTTAATTGGTCTAAACTGAGCTTTCTTTTAACACAAACTAGCCCCTATTGCAGTGCGAATGAGTGATATAAAACTCAGCCAACTGATATGCCACTTTTCCTAGTACCTAACACCTAACTGCACAACCAACCAATCGATTGATTTACCACATTAAGTCGATGAGCCTCTGTATTTTAGGATGACGGACTGTGTCACAAAAACACAGACAAAGGTTGAAGATATGATCAACACGCCTATAGCCAGGAGTAAAATTCATTCGACTTTTATTGCTGTCTGCTTTCTATAGATTCCATTATTGCACCAGATGACAATGTAACGAATATTTCAGAAACTATAGTAATCATTCAGGTTTCTAAGTAGTTGAGATGAAAGAATTTGTCGTACCTAATAGACTGAAACAAAAAACTAACGAGATTATTCGGGTAGAGTTAATCTGAACTTCAGGGTTTTTCCAAATATACTTAATAGCTTCTCTGATAATTTTAGAGGACCATCCTTAAAGTTTTCGGTGAGACTAATATTTATGGATGACCTTTGAGCAACGCCAGACTGACTTTGAGATCGTTCACCTAGTAACTAGGACCAAATAAGGGTTCAAAACCAGTGTGAGGAATTAGAATTATGATTTACAGTTGATGGTCAATGTTAGGAATTAGATTTGGGGTTTTCACCAGGAAATGACATCAGCCATAATGCTAAAACCCTATTCAGCCAAACGAATGAGTGAACTTTATGCCAAAATCCGACAAACGTCATTTTATGTCTGTCCATAAATTATAGTCTCGTCAGTTTCGTACAACACTGAAGGAAATGTTGTAGGAGAATTTGGTCGAGTCATGATAACATTGGAAGAAGTAGGCATCATTCCAGACTTGGAGAATGATTAAGTGAAGTTAGTTATTCATTTTAATAAACATATGATGTGTAGACACTTTACGTAAGAGAATATGAATTTGTAAGATCTCTAAAATCCCACCACAACATAAGGAGCGAAGTTTTTAAGAACCAATAACCCTTTGTAAATTAATTATGGAAGTGCCGTCCAAGAATAAGTAAATATGATGATCGCTTACTTACAGAAGATATTTAGTCATACAATACACGGCCTACAACGTTAGGACGTTTGAAAATTGCGCTGTGACACGAAGTAAGAGAAATCGTAGTAAGCGGGCTAATTTCTAAAATTAATAGTTAGCGAATTTTAGCTTGATTATTTGAAATCATAATTCACTTTTATTTTGATCATATAACTTTACCTGAAAAGAATTAGTTGTTTTAAACATTACATCCAACACGTTGATTCGTTCCATATAACCCTGTCCTTTCTTATATCAGCTATACGTCTCCTTGCTTTCAACCTATTTGCACTAGGGAGAGATTTGATTGGCTGACTGTATTTTCGTTTTCCTATCCCAGTTGTTCTTCATTTAATCTCTACTTTGATCAATGACCTAGTGCATGTCTGACCTTTCATTATGTTTGATAGACAGCACGCGTGCATTAGGTATCGCTATGTGTTTGTCTTACGATCATCCTTTATGAAGGCTTTCAGGGCTGACTGTTTATATTTGCTTTTGGCAGTGTGCATAGTTTTTTTGTTCAGAGCAATCAAATAGTGTTTAGGAAAAGATTATTTTTCTTTACCACATTCCACATCGGTGAGACCAGTATGCGTTGTCCGTGCTAAACCTCACACCCTTGCTCTGGAAATTTATTGAACCAGTCGAGCAAATTCATATAATAAGGCTGGTGAATTGCGTAATTGTGTGCAGACAGACGTACACACTAATCCTCAACCGTCAATCTAAACCTGCACACATCCATTTATCATTTCGATATTTAAAAAATGTTAGGAGTGGAACGTATTTTCCTGTTGGGGTGTGGACTCGTCTTCAGGCTCAATCCTAAATAACCTTCAAATAAGCATAGAACACAATGTCAAAAAACAAAAGTCGATTTTACTCCCTGATGAGTTCCCTACCATTATGCATGAAGCCATATGAGCAGTTTATTCTAGAACTTCAAAAGCTTTCAAGGCATAACAGGTTTGTAACAGGTTCAGTTTTGTTTTATATATCTTCCAGACAAAATGCTGTTTTACAACCGCCCTATCTTTTTGGACACTTAATTGATTTACAAAAGCTGTACAACGAAGTTGCCCTGCGGGGTGGTCACAAACAAGTAAGTCAGAAAACAATCATCTAGTGTTCTTGTTACAGGTTACTTTTTCCCACCTGTGGTTGGAAGTTTATCTAGCCTTAGGTCTGCCACCAGGTTGTGTCGATGCAGGCCATGGATTGCGCACTATTTATCAGAGGTATCTCGAGTTGTTCGAAAGAAACCAACGAATGACGTCAAGAAGCATTTTCACATCCGATGAACAGGATGATGCTGTTACTCACTTTGACGGTGATGCTCAGGTTCGTTTTTACCATTACTGATGATAAACCTTCTAAAGGATTTCGATCAGTTCCTAAAATCGTCTAAACAAAACATTTATGGGGCTTCTGTTCGTTCTAATACTGAAGAAATACCCAATCACTTGCGAAAAAGTTGGAATTTGAGTATCGATTTAAAAGATGATTTCGAATACATGTCATTAGAAAAATCATTATTGTCAGGGCTTCCTAATGAAATTGAGCTTGCGTTAAACACAATCCTTCTTATGTCTTCTCAACCAAATGACTTCAGTATTAGTAAAAATCCTAGGCTTCTGGATGTTCTGTTATATACTGTTGGCATTTACGGACCAAGTAAGTTCCGATCCTTAAATTCATTATATAGATCCATATTTTATTCCAGAACATGTCACGACGTACCAATACAGCAGATACCTCAATGTAAGTGCTCTATATTTTATTAATCAATTCTAGTTTTGGGAATCAAATATTGACAAAGAGAATGGACGAGTATTTCTTTCACCCATCGCCTTCTACTCAAGTAAGTTATCAAGAATACCACTGTACCATACTTTTCTGGCGTATTACTGTTTTTAAGTCTTAGATTGTTTCTAAAATCATTTAGTTTATTATCATCTAAAAGCTGTTGTTTGTCCACACAGAATCCAACTAGTTTTATCATCTTATGCTTTTCTCCAATTCTCAGCATTTAGAATATTCCGTTAAATTGGGATAAAGGTATAATGGTAGTCTTGTTACGAAATCAAATGTTGGTCCCTTAACAGTATAATGCTAAATGGTCATGTATGACATTCCTAATTCAATTCTTCGGTATCATTTACTATCCTATGTACCTCAAACCCAAATGTAACTAATCCATTTTATCTTAAAAGGAACAAATTTAGTAAACCATGAAGACGTTTTTACATCACCCATTGATATCTGGAAACCAGACCAATATGACTGATTGCATCGTGTATTGGTGTTTTGTTATTTTCCAATGTTATCACTCAGTATTCAAGCCTTTTGATGAAGCTCTAAGATTTCTGATTCCGAAGACCAAGTACGATTACTGGAGTGATTTAGCATACGATTATGGATGTATTTGGAGAACTGTATGCAGATTCGTTCCATCCTTTACATTTTATCCATTCGGAACAATGAAGTGTTGCATGTTATACTAGTATTCGTTTAACGTGTTTGAATTAGCTATGGTAGATTATTTTTATTAGTTTACGATCATTCGTACATACCTTGGTTTATGCACCTTGCTAGCATCTACTTTATTCATATAGGCTAATTGCATGATCTCGTATTTGACAATATTGTAACCTCACTAACAAGTATTCTTTTACACACTCGACTGTAAGCCACACCATTGGGTTCGCCAAATCGAATGATAGTACACAGCTGTCTGAACCGAAGTTGGGGAAACCAGATTCAAACCGGCTAATCTACTTTTTAAAGTCAGGTGCTTGTTATTTCATCAACCGCTCCATTGTTCGCGTTAGATTATTTGTCTTACTTTTTAACTTGTTAAAGCCTTCCCTACCTGGCCTTGTCGGCTTAGTCAACTGTTATTTAGGCATTTACAAGTAATATCAAGTCAACGTTGCAGTGTCAAATAACTAAACATAGCAATTGATTACTTCTAGATAATGACTTTTTAGTTGATCCTCTCTTCTGATTTAATTCTAAGCTGAATATAAACTTTGCTATTACTAAGTAACTTTAATGTGATCGCTTTGGTCCTACAGGTTATACTGCCTGCACCATACACCATATGTTGTATAGCATAGCCTGAATGTCATTCAAAACAGTCAGTGATTTCATCAAATGGCTCGACGCTTTGATGAAGCTATCATTTTTTGTTTTAACTCTATTACGCTACATAGTGAACTGAAATCAGCTGTTAATCGTGTAGGCTTTCTGGGTAATGCATAAACGTTTTTCAGTGTCGAAAGTGTTATGACCCAAAATCCTCTATATTAGCTGAAAGACATTCAATTTTTCGAATCATAATTTTAGGATGAGTTGGCGCTACCTACATACCGTTCTTTAAGTCTATTCTAAGATGCAGATTTAATTTAATTAAAATAGAAATCAGTTTCTTAGTTTAAATCAATCAATTCACAAACCTGTTATACAAACAGGTTAGGGAACTAAAACACTCGATATTACGGATTTTTAGCTTGTAATAATTGGCAATCATTGTGTTTAATAAAGTTTATAGAAATGAAGAAATCGCCCCCCCCCTGTTTGGTTTGCCAAGTGGTATCAATAACTTTCACACAACATAACTCATATTCAAGTACCTGATGTATGGGTTATCTTATTAATTTATCCGTAATCGGTCCCCACTACTGAGGAGACCAAGTGACTTAAGATAATTGAACAGTATCACTACCCCTTACATAATTACGGTCCAAGTTTGACTAAACGGACTTGTCCTTCAACGCTCAGGTTACCTACCTTGTCGCATGTCTCCTTTGTTTCCTTACTTTTCATGTAGTTATGTAGAATGTAACAACTTAAAGCGTTTAAGGTAACCTATTAGATAAAGATAGTCTGTTAATTCATTTCTTTTCTCTTCACTGGACAACTATATACATATTGCAATCACTAGATTTCTCTTACAACAACACAAAAGTTTCCTTGCTTCACTCGTATTTTGACTTGTTTTGGATTCATAATTTCTCAGGATACCAATATGCTTGTTTGTTGAAAACTATGTGCATCAATACTGTTTCATCCTGCGTATCCTAAATTCTCACTTTCGTTTCATAACTTGTCGAAATAATCATCGTCTCGGTATACGTAAATCTGCATCATCTCAATCGATTTTACCTCACTCAACTTACTTTGTCCTAATATTAACGTCATTTACATATCTTCAAATAGTAAAGTAAAACTAAACTGTCTGCTTTTCTCAAATTTGCTGTCGATAACTTTTGGTGGCTGACTCTCATATGGGGCTATTATCCTAAAAAGAATTTTAATTTTAAAAGTACTAACAACATAGACTTGCTTTACAACGAAATATGAGCTACTTCTATCTTATTTCATCCATTATTTATCCCTAAGATCTGTAAATGAGCTTCGCACCATCGAATTTTTGAATACTATTGGAAGTCCTACAAGATATATATTCTATGTTTATTGTTAGTGTTTGAAAATAGCTGGGAAATCTGTACATTAATTGCCCCTGCCTCAATAGACATTCGGATACCTGCGTGCCACACTTTAGTTTAATTGATGATGAATTGTATCCGCCTTTGTTGACTCAACGCCTTAAGTCATTGAAGTATTCGATTCAACCAATCTCTCCTCCCAGTCGTTAATCCAGACATATTTAGAAATCATTCTCTTAAAGTAAAATCAATTCTAGGTAAAAAAAAAGCCTTCACTAAGTAGAATAATTACGTTTAAGTATTGTACGCGATTCGAAGAACGCTTATATAAACCATTCCTTGAAAAGTCGTTAGCATGGTATCCAGTACTATGTAAGCTGAATACTATTGAAAAATGTACATCACTAAGAAACACTACTCATCATTTCTGCTTGAAAAATATCTTACAATATCCTGCCATATAACGAAAATTTATAAAGCACCAGAAGCCTCACATATGTGGTACGTTTGTTGGACACTACGCTTGACGTAACACAGCATAACCCAATCGATCTATTAATGTACAGCTTCGGTAAATATGAGGCATCAGTAATTGTCTTTGGGTTTTTGTGAGAGTAGATATTTTACCACTGCAACTTATACATGATCTAAACCTGTGAGATGTTTACGATTTTTTTTCGTTTAGTAACCCAATATTAGCATTTCGGAACCACTAATTGTCAGGTTTTCTGTATCCTGACTCATTTCAACAAATAATTATTTCACAGATTGAAATCATGAGCCAATTAAAGCTAGACCAACATGAAAAACCTCGAAGCACTGAACGGCCGTTTCGTCCTAGTATGGAACTCCTCAGCAGTGCGCATCCATGATCCCGCGCCCCGCGAGATTAGAACCCAGGACCTATCAGTCTCGCGCCGTTCAGTGCTTCCAGGTTTTCCATAGTGGTCTAGCTTCAATTGACTCATGATTTCAATCTGTTAAATTTCTAAAATCTCCACAAACCCCTTCTGAAAATAATTATTTACAGAACATATACGAGACATGTATGTATACATGAACAAGTATACAAAGTTGGGTCATTCCGTGTCTCTTGTTGCAGTTCATTAAAATTATTTTACTACTAGTTCCTCACTATAATATGATGAAATAACCGAAATAGTAGAAATGCATAAAGTAGCTTAAAACTTACATTTATGCAAATCACTGACTATCACATTTTCAGTCTTACTAAATTTGTTATTTCGTATTATATGCTAACGAAAATTACTAATAGTCAACCGGTGGGTGGTGTTAATTTTATGTGTAGGTACCAGTACTTGTCTTTACCTATTTCTTGATAGTGTCGTTTTAATTCTACATTCTTTACTGCACTCAGCACTTTGTATTTTTTTTACTATTTTAGAAGAGCTTCCTGAGGTTATTTATGATGAATTTTGTTATCCTCCTGCTGTTCAAGAGATGACATATGGTGATGAAGAAGCTTTTCGTGTACAACTAGTCGCTACAGTACTACGTAACTTGGCTGTAGATGATGGATTAAGCGCTGTCATTATCGGACGAAATCCTCAAGCCTTGCGTTTCATTTTTTTATGTATATATTCCAAACACTCGTGTCTACATCAACTTGGTTTAGAAATACTATCTTCATTGTATTTTCCAGTTCTTGGTTCACTTATACCTGCCCTCCATCGTTTGCTCACTACTTTGTTAGTTTGTCCTGATCGAATAGATCGCATCCGTGGTAAGTTGATTATCAAATTCATCTGTTATCGAGGAACATGACAAACACTTAAGTATCGATTCAACTAATATTAACACAAAAAGTAATTGAAATAGTCTGTAATGAATTTACTAGTAATGTCGAGATTTTATGAAGTAGCAGCATTCTTCATAGTTTAATAGCATGTTATTAACTATCACGTGGTTTGAAGTACTTCCTACTTCTAATTTCTCGATTAACAGGATAGACCGACAGTTATGTTATCATCGCTAAAATAATCAGCTTATGGGTTGTAACTTTAAAATCTACTACCAACTTTGTTTAACTTTCAGACGTCGCAATTACGCTAAGAGTTGTCCCGATTGACTTACCAGGCTTTGGTTTTTATAAGGTCAAAACACATTCAGTCTTAACAACTTTCTCAGTTGCTTGCTCAACCATCTTACTATTTCCAACTGTCAACCATCGATCATTGAAGAACAAATTCTCACCAACTATACAAAAATAATTTGTTCCCCAATAATGTAAATTACATTCAGTATTTTTGAATGGATTATTTATTTATTTGAACACATAAATTTTGATACAAAGGGGCACCAAATGCCTATACGCTATACAATAATAATGAGAATGTCAAGAGATGGAGAAAGTACATATAAGAAAAAAGAGAACAATAACGAACAGAATTTAGTGTATGATAGTGAAATAATTACAATGAGAGAGGTAGTTCAGTTAGCAAAGGTACAACCAGAAAGAATTCCAGTTAAGGAAGTTGCGTCCATTTTTAAGGGGTTACAGCGGGATCGCCACTGGCTTCTATTCTGAGCCATATCTAACAACGTCTTAAGCCACTGTGTTGCACCATCTCTAGGACTCCAACCGAGGAGCCGTGAAGGACCGACAGAAGCCAGCCCTTTGCAGCTTTTTTTTCATACCACGACACTATGTCATACACTGGCCACCTCTCCACTTCTTCCAGCCAGTCCCAACGTTGGCAAATAATGCACGACGAGGCATTCTCTGGGACGGCATTCGTAAACATGACCAAACCCCCGACAGTTACAGAGACGACGTGAATCCTTTTTAAAGATAGGAACAACTATCGACTCATTCCATGATGTTGGAACACTCTTATTGCTAAGCCTTTATAAACAACTCAGTTCCTTAACTAGAAATTTACCATCATCTTTAAAAAGGGCCGGAGGTAAGTCACCTGGGCCTGGTGATTTATAGCGCTGCAAGAGTTGGAGTTTCTTGCGGACTTCCGCCTCGTTATGTGGATCACTCGTCAAAGGACCTGAAGGGCAGGACAGTCTGATCGATGTTGTTGGGGCAGCAGATCGGTTAAACTGCTCCTCGAAAAACTCCCTATCGTCCAAGACGTCGTTAGATGTTAGTGATTTGCAACCCATCATCCCCACAGATTGTTTCACTCACACCAGACTTTTTGTTACCATTGTCTTGGATGAGTTGAAAGAGCAACAAAATGTATTCATGTTATTACCACACAACTTTCCGCGTTTCATTTTTTCATATTATTTTTATCTTGTTTTGTGTGGTGCGTCTATTATTACCTCAATGTAAAAATATTTTCCTTTTTGGATTAATAAAGTTTACTTGTTTTCTAATTTCGATTACTTTGAACTTACGGTATTTATATTTTATGAAATTTATGTAATCAGTATGATCAAAATTGTGATTTGAAGTCAAACGATAACATAAACGAAGTACACTTTTACAATTTTGTTCTCCTGATCTGTTTTTACCTGAACGTACCGCTCTCCGGTTGTGTTTGCAATAGTTCTTTTCCGTCTTCATCGAATTATTTGTTTTTTAAAGAGTGTTCCAACGTGATTCTAAAAACTATACACTTCTCATAAAGTTATATTTTACTCACATTTAAGCTTATATATGGTCACTGGACATCTTTTTATCATCGTAATTCATCCATTGTAGGTTTTTTTCTGTCTAGCGATCCGGGACACTTCCAATTTTTCAAAATTATCTCACCGGCATAAGAAACTCAATAAAAGAATTTTGACTTTCTTTTTAGGTTTACAGATTGTGAAAAACTTATGCTCAACGCCGCTTTTCGATGTAACCTACGACAACATTCCACCTGTAGGTACTAAAAAGGTTTCTTTAACCAGGACTGGTCGTAACATAGCATTTCTGACTTCATTGCCACCTGTTACATTCTCTTCTATTGCAAGCACTTTATGTTTGCGAGATTTGCATTTAGTAGTTCTTGCAATAGATACTATTCACAGTTTAACCTGTCTCGGTCCTACTTTATGTGATCGTCTGCTTCAACAAGGATCACCACCCGAAGAAGATCCTCCCACTTCTTTAGAACTTCATATACCCCACCAGAATTCAAGCCTTCTTTCTCTACTTGTCGCTTTACTAAATTTGGAAGCTCAGGCCATGGGGTCGGACAGTCTCATTCGCGTGCGTGTTATGCAAGCATTGGGTACAGAATCTACCAATACTAAGCCTTCTGTTTCAAAGCCTTCATTTTCTACCGCTTCTCCCCTTTCAAAAACAATATCTACCACCATCATGCAAACAACTTCAAGTTCTTCATGTATTCCTCCACAAAATCCCACAGTCACCTCATCCACAAATTCGACAGTTCAGCTGCCAGTTTACTGTGCTCAACCAAACCTAACTATATCGGTATGTGTTACCTTGTCATTTATTTTTATATATTGGTCATCCTACTGCAATAAATGTCTCGAAAAAATAATATCTATAAAGAAATTATGTGTTATTATAAAAATAAAAGTAGGTAGATAGTTATTTCAACCTAATATTCAACTATCCTATAAATATGTTGTAGGCTTAAATTTCTTGTGTATTTCCTGCTGTATACCATTGCTCTGAAACGATGTACATTCACCATTTTGTGTTAAAAAATGTATCGTTTGCCACTTTTATATTCACTGCAACCGAGACTTTATGTATAACGTATCTTTGTTACGCAGATCTCGTTTACAAAAAAATGAGTGAATCCGTCTTTATTTTCATAAATATGAATTTCTAACTAATTATTGTACTTGAATAGTGTTAAGCTTAGAATTTTTGCTATGATTAAATTTAATCATGCTTATTCACTACTAAAAATTTATTCTATCAAGTCAATTCTCTAAATAACATACTGGAAAGATCACCGTTTAAGATATAGATTACTTTTTATTGTATCCGTTGTTCATCATCCTAGATGTCAACTGTATGTAGTAAATGTTTATCTTGAATTATTTTTTTGACAAACCTTATTCGCTATCATTCTAGTAGAATATGTTTGTTTGTTTTTTATCGTCAATAGCTGAATCATCCTTCGTGTTGTACAAGTTATCATTTGAGTGTTTGTAACACATTGCAAACTCCTACTGGAAAGACTTCAATTCCTACAGCACCAAGTTATTTTCCTCACAATCTTATTGGCTGTAGTTCTCCTTCCACCACCTTTTTAGCCGCCAATCCGTCGGTCAGTGGAGTCCAAAATACAGATTCTTCTCGTGTAAATAAACGTGATTTGCTAGTTAGAAATTGTCTTCCAGTCATTACTACTCCTAGAGTTAACCTTTCTATGCGTGAATTTGGTACTGTTGCATCTTCAACGCAACAAGGTTCAGGGTCTTCATCTACTAGCAAACCAGGTTTATCTGTGATACAGTCGTCACACATAACATCAACTATGAATTCTGCTACTGTAAATACTAGTATCTCATCTACAAATGATCTCATGAGTAAAGTGTGTTTACCTCAAAAGTTATCTAGTACACCGGCACTCAACACACCTACTATTAACTCAGAAATTCAAAAACATGTAAATCCACCATCAAAGTCCCTTGCTACTGAAAATGGTATACCTCAACTTGATAGACGTGAATTCATGTTTGAATGGCTTAAAAGTAATTATGCTGTACATAATCACTCTAGCATTCCGCGTATTCAAATATATAATGAATATCAAAAAGCACATCTACAACGATTCAAAAATATTGTTGCAATTTCGCCTGTTGACTTCCATTCACAAATTAAGTAAGTAATCTGTTCAATTTAGATGAAACATTTTGTTTCACTAATGTATTTATTACTGCATTAGAATATTTATATGTCATTATTCTCACATCATTTGATTCTAGTTAATTTATCTTCTTCCACTGTAGAACTATATTTCCTGGAGTAGGTCAGGTGAAAGTACAAGTACCGGGAGGAAGTGTAGAAATTCACTACAACAACTTAAAACATGTTAATGCTCCTGAACCTGAAAGTCAACAAGGTAAGTGGTATAATCAATTCACATTTTTTTAGGCATAAATGATATTATGGCATCTGTTTTAAGTCCCACCAAAATTGAATCCATGTGTCATGAATCACGTTCTCCAAAAACCAAAGTTAGTTTTATTTTGTTTATCATTTACTTAAGATGTATTTTATCTTTTGCATCATAATTGTTTCATATTTGTTAAGAATTAAATACTTATTTATAGATTCCCACTTAAAAACTGATTGCTTTTTGTAATTATTATTGTGATCGCAATTTTGTAGAAGTATCTAGTTTACTCCTAACTTCTTGATTATAAAAATAAAACTGGGAGAGTTACTGAGATACGGAATCTGGTATTTCAAATGTTTTTATTAGCTAATTGATGAAAACCAGGTTTTATATGCCCCAAGTAAAGTGAAATCAAGTTTAATAAAATATTCAAATTATTTGGAGAAATTTAGGCTAATACCTCGGATATAACTTTAAAAAAACACCCTAAAATATTTAGTGTCCTGAGACGGTGGCCTAATAGTCAAAGCATTATAGGGTCAAGAATCTCAACTCCACCACCTACTTCGATTTAGGCTCTGTGGTCCTTGTAAAATAAATGTAGCTTAGAGCTACATGCACTTGGTTACCAAGTGTTATGTTATTTAATTAGCTAGTTTTTCCATTTATTAACGTGTATCTGTGAAACAGTACGATCGTATTTTGATAGAATCTCATAAATGAAGGTAACGATTTTTTAGTCTAATGTACTAAAAACTTTTCATCTTTATACTTTTGTAGTGCCGTAAAAGACCGGCAACTGGGGCCTTTCTTCATCCTGCATCTCCTAAACTGGCTTCAAAAAATGAGGATCTGCAAAACCAGGTACTTAAAAGTTCACAAATTGATGTTTGTGATTTGAATGGCCATCTTGAATCCCCAAAATTAACTAATGGACAGTTAGTTTGTCCTTTAAATGGTTTATCTCGTGATACCACAGACGTGCTCAACATGACCACAAGGTAAGTTGTCGAGAAATTATTATTTTTTTAAAACACAAACATTCGTACAAGGAGGCACCAAATCGATATACGCCACATAAATCATCCGATTTGCGTGAGGGCTGGTACAATGGGGTACTAAATACATATGCGCCACAATAACAACGAGGCCAGTAGCAGTTATCATTGATATGTGCGAGGGCTGGGATACTGCCCGAGTGCCCAAACTGAAGCAGCTGGTTTTATTAGGAGGCCACACCCGGAGCCTTTAACCTAAAGGTCTAATCAACAAGGCGACGGAGCAACGCAGGTAGATTCAGTCCCATGGTAGCCGGTGATCAACAACAATAGGTTCATACGCCATCTGTTTCCTTGTGATCCTGAAGCCCATGTGCACTATTGGTTTAAAATCAAGGTCTCCCAACTCCCGTAGGTGAATCTTCCATATCCATCAACCCGGTTAAAATGCCAGACATTCGCTTTTCGTTCTCTTGATTTCGTAAAAAACACCCCCACCACGAGAAGGCAGTGGGCAGGACTTCCATGGCAGTGGTTGTATGCACGTGACCATGTGAGAGCATTTGGAGGCTTATCGAGAAATATAGTTTTCAAATTCTTTTGGTTATGCTGGAAATTGTGTGGCGCACATGTGTCTGGTGCCCCCTTGTACCAATATTTATATGTTCAAATAAATAAATAAATAAATAAAATTCTGAAAATTCTTTATCAATAATATTGAAAATCGTATGCATCTGCGCAACAGTCTCGTTTGTTGCACTTTTTGGAAGCGTAAAGATAAGGTCCTCGTTTTCAGTTCCTACTTTATATGATGTCGCAGTATTCTTTGTATTCTGTACCGTATTTTATGGAAGTTACTTAAGTGGTTGTAAAAAATCTAGTTAGATTCTGACGTCCATAATATGAGGGCACATGACATGACATTTTCGAATGTCCTAGCCAGTCAGTCAGCTACAACGTAGGACCAGGCATATATATGCATCTGTTCAAGTTGCCATACCTCATTAACACAACAAGATGGACACCGAATTCATAAAAGCAGTTAATTCAGAGGTGGTAATATATACAAGAAAGATTGCAATAAGGATATAGTACAGGAAGAAAGAATTAGTTCGTAGAAAGATATGAAGCGATTTTAATCACTTAGTTTAAGGGAAGACACAGAGTGTATACACCGACGCCATTGTGATTGATTCTGAGGCATGTCACCAAGAGTCTCCAACCATTGGTTACGATACTCACGCGGACCCCAACCAAGTAGTCTGTATCTCCCAACATGGCTCAAACCAGAAGTAAGTGACTTCAAGCACTGATGCCACGTTTTGGTTTGGCCGCCCCTAACTTTCTCCCAACCATCTCGAACACCTGTCAGCGTTGCACGTCGTGGTAATCGGTGTTCGGTCATACGTAACACGTGGCCCAACCATCTCAGTCGATGAAGTTTCACAACCTCATCAACTGATTTACCATCATTCCCTAATACCCTGCGTCTAACCTTCCTATTACTCACCCGGTGATCCCAGCAGACGCCAGCAATATTTCTAAGGCATCTGTGGTCAAATACTAGTAGCTTACGAGTGTCTTCTACTCTTAGTGGCCCTGTTTCGCTGCTGTAAATTAAAACAGAACGGACTGCCGCACAGTATACTCGTCCTTTTGTTGATAGACGGATATCTCACCTTCGCCAAAGGTGACGTAAGTTGGCAAAAGCCAAGCGAGCTTTTCGAATCCGTGCTGAGATGTCGTCAGACACCAACCCATTAGGGTTGATCAGACCTCCAAGATAAGGGAAGTTGTCAACGCGTTCGACTACTTCACTCCCTATCCTTAGTCCAGGTGTTGACGCAGACCAGTCCTGAAGCAACAACTTGCATTTACAGGGAGGGAAGCGCATTCCAAATATTCTGGTATTGTTGCTTAGTACTACCGAAAGATTCTGCATTGTATCAGCGTCTTCACCAAACAGGACTATGTCATCCGCGTATTCTAAGTCGATAAGTGGACCTCCTGGAAGGAGATCAATACCCGAGAATTCAGTCGACGAGAATGTTATTTCCATCTCTGTGCTAATGTAGTATGGCAACTCTAACTGATCTACGTACGTACGAAGTTCTACGTTGTTACTGACTGACAAACTATTTCCATCAGTAGGTCTATGATGAAGTTAAACAACAATGGAGAAAGTGGACAGCCTTGACGGACACTCCTTGAAGTTGTAAAAGCAGATGACAGTTCGCCATGAGCTCTGACTCGACTAGTAGTGTTCGAACAAAGAGCCTTCACAAGGTTTATATACTTCTGAGGTACGCATTTCAATGACACTGCCACAGGATCTCGCGGTATACGGAGTCAAATGCTGCTTTCAAGTCAAGAAAGACCACCATTGTCGGACGCCGATAAGTATGCCTGTGTTCCAGAACCTGACGAATGCTGAATATGTGGTCGATGCAGCCACGACCAGGTCTGAAGCCAGCTTGATTCTCTCGTGTTTGCAGTTCAGGAGTCTTAGTTGGGCGTCCGATAATTATCGAAGCTAGTATTTTAGATACTATATTAGTTAAACTAATCCCTCTATGGTTGTTACAGGCTGATTTTAAACTTCTCTTATATATTGGGACGATAAGTGATTGTGACCAGTCAGATGGAATAACGTCTAACTTCCAGATCTTAGCTAAAATATTAGTCAACCTAATCACTAAAATTGGACCACCATCCTTAAAGACCTCTGGGACCAATCCATCTGGACCAGCTGCCCTTCCTCGTTTCAGATTAGTTATAGCCTTTTGAACTTCGGCTAGGATTGGGGAACCTACTTCAGTGTTCCATTCACACTGTCTGGGAATGGAGGGTAGTTGTAGAGTAGCTGAAGGCCAGTTGAACTGTTCTCTGAAATGTTCTGCCCATCGTTCTAAACGTCTGGACTGAGAGCAGATGACGGTGTCGTCTTTTTCCGAAATAGTCTGACTTACACTTGGCTTATTAGTTCCAGTTTCTTTTATTAGTCTGTAGAGCTGTCTTGTGTTCCCTATAGCCGCCGCCTTTTCCATCTCTTTTGCTTTCGTTGCCCACCACTGCTCACGGTCGTTCCTTAGACTTTTTCTTAACCTAGATCTGATTTGTTTTCGCTCTTCATCGTGTTCAGAGCCTGATGGGATGAGTTTACGAGAATCCATCAGTGCAATAGAACTTGAGGAAATCCATTGGTTCTTTGTAACCCTGTGGTTTAAATCATTGATAGATTTCACTGCTGTTTGTATAGCTTTCCAAGCAACGCCTGGGTCAACCACGTTTCCAAAACTACCTAAGTGTGAACTCAGTTGTTCCTGGAACCTACTTTTGGTTTTCTCGCTACTCAATTCAATTATAATGGGTCTTTTTAGTGTGGCTTTTTTGCGTCCAGTGAGGCGCAAGCAGATGCGTGCCCGTATTAGGGCATGATCGGAGTCCAAGCAGGTACACCGGAATGAGCGACAATCTTCTACCGACCCTCTCCAACGATGACTGATGGCAATATGGTCTATTTGAGTCCATCGTTAGTTTGGTGTAGGGGATCGCCATGTTAGACAATGCTTCTCCTTATGCTTAAAATTTGTTTGCTAAAAATAAACGATTGTCTGAACATAGTTGCAACAGACGATCACCATTATCTGTTCGCTGTGCCGGAATAATAAAATACCCACATAAATGCCTTTCTGTTTGGCTTAAACTACGTATCTGGGCATTAAAGTCGCCTGCTACGAGTACTATGTTTGAACTGTTAGCTTTCTGTAAAATTCATCTTTCACTTCATCTGAGCTGCAGTCGGTGGGAGCGTAGGCAGAAACGACGAGAAGACAATGACGTGTGTCCCTATCCTTCCGAGTTCTTACGGGGCCGCTTAGCTGAACAGCACATAAGCGACTGTTAACGGGGATCCACTCTAAATGTTTTAGCCGAAGTTGTTAGATTACTTGTGATTACACTTCTTCCAGATATTCTTCCTAATTTAAACACAGAAAGAATATATGCTTCTCTATCTTTATTTATTTATAACACGGTGCAAAATTTTGCACTCTAATGTACTAAATTTCCGATTCTACATATCCATGTATATATATATCCTCTTGACCGGTCCGCTTTGTCCTAGACTTCATAATGGATCACCTCTCAGGAAGTTGAATGCTTCATTAAATACAAATGAAGATGGTTGTGTTCAAAAGAAATGTACAACGCCTGTGCGAGCAACAGCAGTGGTATCCTTACCCGACTCCAAGATTATGATCGTTCCTGTCTTTACTACTTATGGTATGGGCCATAATTTGACACTCAACGGAACTCCAACTAGCGAAGTTCCCACGATGATCAAAATGCAAACCTCTGAGAACCACGAAATTAATAAAGCTAACAACACTATTCCAATTTGTTCTAACATTGACCATACTACAACTATTTCTAAAACTAAAGTCAACGTCATCACGTCTTCCTTAACACCGAACAGCATATCATCTACTTCATCGGATCGTAGCTGCAAACTAGCAAAGCAATTAGATGACTCAATTATTTCAGGAAATTATACAAACAGGGTTTCCACTGATCATGGTAAATGTGTACAATTATTCTGTATGTGGGATAAATGTATGCAAACATTTTCAGAGTCTGTTGAACTTTGCAGGCACATTCAAAATATTCATTACAAATCTATTCAAAATTCAGATCAAGTAAGTCACTGAGTCCCTAAATCATCGTTTACGCCTTGCTATCACTTGTATTAATTTGTGTTGTTTTAATATATCTGACTTCTCATCATTCATTTGAAAGTATTTGTAGCCAGAGTACTGTCGACTTCGTTAATTTGAATTAAAATAGATTCACGTTTTTTGTTAATCAGTCATGAACCTTGTAGAACCTGACACACGTTCATCGATTCAAGTTGCCACAGCACATCAACATCATATATTTGATTTATAAGATCATCTATAAAAGTTCATTGCACATGTACCTGTTCCTTTTCATATTACGAAAAGTATGGCCATGCATATCAGTAAGTTCATTTTTGATGCACATAAATTGTACTCAATTACCTTGGCCTTCTACATGTAATTTTCATCCTTCCAGTTGTACTCAATTTCAATTTTATCATTCACTTCTTACCTAATCTGTTTAAGTCATTGAGCCACGAAATAAAAAAGTCCTAAAATAATTAAGAATCCAAAGGGGAGAAACGTAAATGCATCTGCACCATGGCGAACAATGTCTTTAACCACTAGTTGCAATAATCGCGCGAACCACAACCAGGTAATCTGCACCTACCTACATTGTTCACTTCAACGACTGGTGACTTCGTTGGTTAATATGACGTTTTGATTCGACCTCCTCTAGTTTTATTTCAATCTATATACCAGCAATCTTCGAGTGTCTATGTAGATGGCGGTTAAACGTGCGTAATACATCTCCTAACCACCTCAGTTGATGGAGGTTCATTACTTTGTCGGTCAACTTGCCATCCCAAACGAATACCTTGGCTCCAACATCCTCATTACTCACTCGGTAGTCTCAACATACAGGTCCAATGCCTCGAAGGTCTCTACCATCAAATACTAGTAACCTACAAATATCCTCTATTTTTATGGGCCACATATCATAAACAGAGTCAACCGCTGCACAATATACTCGTCCTTTGTTTGGCAGACGGATATCTCGCCTACGCCACGGGTGGCGCAAGTTGACGAAATCAGCCGATCTTTCTGAATCTGTCCTGAAATTTCATCAGACACCAACCCATTTGGATTAATGAAACCCAATATAAGTGAAGTGGCCAGTGTACTCAACTTCTTCACTTCCTATATTTAGTTCAGGCGTTGCCAGACTAGTCCTGAAGCTGCATTTTGAGGAAGAGGAATACATTGTAATCATCGTTGCACTGTTTCTCAAGATGATTGAAAAATTGTATTTTGCCGGCGCCTTCATCAAACCCGGCTATTTCATCTGCGTATTGCAAGTCAACAAATGAATCTCCTGTTAGGTAATCAATCTCTGGAAAGTCGTATTATAAGAGCGTTTTCTCTAAAAGGATATCTGTGACAAAATTACATAAAATTGGGGGAGTTCAACAATCTCGACGAACACTTTTTGTATCTTAGAGGGAATATGCAACTCATTCTATTCGTCAAGTAACGATTTATTCACCATATGTCTGTAGACTTTTGTTTGCAGGAAAACTCGATTTATTACATCTTTATATAATATACACTAGTAATCGAATTTTTTTAGTTTTCGTCCATTATACTATCAACTTAGTTTTTAAAACTAATTGCTTAGAATCAAAAATTTCCCAGTTAGATAGATAGATAGATAGATAGATAGATAGATAGATAGATAGATAGATAGATAGATAGATAGATAGATAGATAGATAGATAGATAGATAGATAGATAGATAGATAGATAGATAGATAGATAGATAGATAGATAGATAGATAGATAGAAAGATAGATAGATAGATAGATAGATAGATAGATAGATAGATAGATAGATAGATAGATAGATAGATAGATAGATAGATAGATAGATAGATAGATAGATAGATAGATAGATAGATAGATAGATAGATAGATAGATAGATAGATAGATAGATAGATAGATAGATAGATAGATAGATAGATAGATAGATAGATAGATAGATAGATAGATAGATAGATAGATAGATAGATAGATAGATAGATAGATAGATAGATAGATAGATAGATAGATAGATAGATAGATAGATAGATAGATAGATAGATAGATAGATAGATAGATAGATAGATAGATAGATAGATAGATAGATAGATAGATAGATAGATAGATAGATAGATAGATAGATAGATAGATAGATAGATAGATAGATAGATAGATAGATAGATAGATAGATAGATAGATAGATAGATAGATAGATAGATAGATAGATAGATAGATAGATAGATAGATAGATAGATAGATAGATAGATAGATAGATAGATAGATAGATAGATAGATAGATAGATAGATAGATAGATAGATAGATAGATAGATAGATAGATAGATAGATAGATAGATAGATAGATAGATAGGGAAGGAGAGAGAGAGAATCACTAATAATTTTATTTTGGTTTTCATTTTGCAGATAAAATGTGTTTGGGGGAACTGTTCTGAAGTGATATCTGGTCCCAGTTTTGATATACTGATGGATCATTTACGTGCTAAACACAACATTCAATTACCTGTCAGTATGGAATCTTCACCGAATGGTTTATCAACTAATGATAATGTTATATCTTCTGCAGTTAATAAAAATCAACCTATTTATACTCCAGTGAATTCCGAAACACTTTCAGAAAAAAATCCAAGTCATTCTTCATGTCAAATCGAAAAGCCGTTCGTGTATGATGAATTACAATTGTCGAATATTCTATCAGAAGAGTGTCGTAGAGCTCTGACTGGAGGAATTCCTAATCCACCTTTCGCACCTACACCAGTTCATGAAGGGCCTGTAACTAAGCACCTCCGACTTACTGCGGCTCTAGCCTTAAGAAATTTATTACAATATAGTGATGTTGCACGACGGTACGTAGTTTTAACAAACTGCTTTTTATCATTCATTGTAGTAAAAGGGATATGTCGTATTACTACATATTCATGTATCAAGTGTTCGTTAATAATATATATTAGTAATCACTGTAGCATTCCTTTTATGTGAAGCAAAGTTTAGTTGTAGTGTGTCAGATAAAGTGGATTTTTATTTATAAAATTTATAACACCTATGTTAGGTGGTCAGAAGTAGTTGACTAGAAACCGTGGCACACATCAAGACGTATCTACAATCTTGAGGGAATTAATACTCCTTGTAGGATCGCATCATCCAGCTTAAGTACTCTTAAATTATTCACTTATTCTCGATTGTGTTTATAAGTATGGTAGTTTGTAACATTATTTATGTAAACTATTTTCAAGTTGGATGAGCTACACAAATATCCTACCCCTTAACGTTGCGTGTTTTACAAATATTGGTTCCTTGATTGATTACGATTAATTCTTTAACCAGTATGATATGTACTGGCTTAAACGGACTTTTCACTTTTTACATTTTTCTATACATTTTAAAGAAGGTAACTACATAAAGAGTATATATATATATATATATATATATATATATATATATATATATATATATATATATATATATATTCCGTTTGACAAAAATTTATCATTTGAATGATCCGTCAAACAAAATTTGTGAATCAAAGGCTATTTCGCAACCTCGTGTATTTTTTTACATTAAATGTTCAACATATCTTAATTTGATCACAGTTTTATTTTCATAAAGTAACAAAAAGAAAACTCAAATATTTCAATATTAACATACACTCATCTCTTAAAGATGTGGGAATGGTAAATCAATTGATAAGACTGTAAAGCATATACCAGCTGCTCCCTAATCATATACGCTAGGTTCGTTAATATTCAATAGGTTGGAAGAAGGCTACTAGCGACTAAATTACGTTTCAGCCCATAAATTTGTACGATTATCGTAATATTTGATTTGGAGACTTTCTCCGCGATGTTATTCGTTCTCTCCGATTTACATTCTATAGTTTACTTGCTTCATGATATTTAACAATTTTATTTCGACCCTCACTTTTAAGTTCCTTAATTTTTCTTTTTTTACTGTGTTGATGTTCAGTAATAGCAAAGTGGACTGATTAATATTTGTCTTAAATCCCACATTATCTATGATTGGTTAGGTAAATGTAAAACTTATACGAAACATATTTTTACTGTATACTTTTTAGTAATTGTTTATGTGATATCAATTTTTGATGTAAATTACTATTAAATAAAGTAATCATTTTTTCGTAGTTAATATTACTAACTATTTGGTTCATTTGTCTGATTAGATTGATTCAATGTTTATATTTTTCTGTATCTTAATTTTAGTTATGTAAGTTCTTGTGAGAATCTTTTATGTGATTTAGCCTTTGCTAATCTTGAATCTTCTCCGACAATTTTTGAGTGCCTCACACTATTATCCAGTTCGTTTGATGAAAATACACCAACAACATCAACATCGACAACTCAGTATTGTATAGATGAGAAGCATATTTTCTGAGTATCACTAGAAACACAAAATTAATCCTGCATTTAGTCAATAACAGTAACAACTACCTATACACAAAAAATAGTACAAACTCAACCTTTTTTAGTAAATCATAATTGTTTCATTTATACACTGCTCAAGTTTTATTCTGTTTATTTAAAATTGACTACCGGTTTAACTAAATTCATGCAATTATATTTTCAAATTTTATCAATAAGTAACTATTCCGTTATACAAAAGTGTATGCCTGATTGTACACTGTGCATAATCTTTTAATTTTGAGCTAATGTTGTATTTGGTGACAAGTGCCAAAGGTTCCTTATGTGAATATTTCTTTCTCTCTTTTCTTCATAATTGTATTTTCTATGAACAGCTGATACTCTCCCTTCCTCCCTCTCTCAATATGTCGCTTTATATCCACATTTTTTTGGCAGTTTTAGACTGTTTCTCATTGATTAACAAATGATGTGCTCATGTATATCTATATAAATAACTTACCGAATACTTTCTTTTTTATTCTGTTCTTATCAGTTATTACTATTAGGCTATATATTTATTATCTGCTGCACTGTGATGGGCTTGTGTTTCTATAATGATAATACAATCATTATTATTACTATTATTATCAATAATGTTATTTTGTCACACCACCCATATTATATATATGTACAGGCTAGTTTTTACTTCGTTCTCTTTTTTGTTTGGAGTGCATGAATTTTGCATTTTTTTTGAGGAAATAAACTCTTATTCTTACTGATTGTCTTCCTTTGTTCGCTTCATCACTGAAGTTTTGTTCTACCTTTATTTCGATCAGCTTCAAGACTTTCAGTGGTATAGTCGTTTTCGCGTATAATTTTTAAGTGATAAGACAAACTTGTAGTAGCAGTCAGTGTTTTTAACCCGTGAGACGACAAATATCTTATTATGATGTTTGTATTTTCCAATGATTGATAAACAAAATGAGTAAAAAATAACTCAAATCATCGAGTTTTAACTCTGTTTGAAAACACGAATAATTGTATTTGTTAATATCCCATGTTAAAGTTATATGATAGTAATAACTGACAATAATAGTAGATTTATTTAGTAATATAAGTTTTGGTACAGTAAATAATCCTCAGCAAAAGTTGTACGATGCTACAATAATAAATATCCCTTTAGCATACATTCAAATTGTAATTATTTAAAACGAATTTTAAAAATGTTTTTATTTGTCAATATCTTACATCTACCAGTTCAGCTGCTACAATTATTTCTTTCCATCCATTTTTTATAAGATATTCGAATCTTAATATTTCAAAGGATAGATAAAAAGAAAAACGTACCAAGGGCTGGAGTGTTTCGGTCTTCTGCCAGTATACTGCCTTGCAATAATTTGTACGCCTTTCATAATGAGTAAACGTGGTTAATGTTTACGATTATTCAGTTAAAAAAAATCTTTAAAAAAGTAGTTTGATTGCATTATTTACTTAATTGGAAATTAATTGGGCCAAACATCCGATAATGCAGACTATTCATGCATTAAAAATTTAAGATTTTTCTGTGAATGATCACATTTGAATCCAAATCAATATATAAGGATAACCATCCTTTCTTGTAAATTGAATAAGCGCAAATCTATAACTTTTTGCTCATTCAGTGGGCGTGCTGCATGCAAGAGTGTAATTTTCGCTGGGGTTATACATATTTAGATTGATATCATGAATGGATCAATGTTAGACCCAGAACCTTCAAGCCCCACATGTGGGACCATAGATACGCACTTTCGAGGATCCCATACTAGTACAAAATAGCCCTCCAGGTTTTCAATGGTGGTGTAACATAGATCCATTCATGGTATCAATCTAAACTCAATAATCTTCACAACCCTATACTGACTATAAATATTTACTTCAGTCAGTCAGCTACAACGTAGGACCAAGCACATATGTGCATCGGTCCAGGTTGCCATACCGCATCAGCACAACAAGATGAACACCGGATTCATAGCAGTGGTTAGGTCAAAGGTAGTAATATGTAAGAGAAAGATTACATATAGAGATATAGTACAAGAAGAAAGAATTGGTTCGTAGAAAGAAAGATATGAAGCGATTTTAATCTCTTAGTTTAAGGGAAGACAGGGAGTGTACACACCGACGCCATTGTGATCGATTCTGAGGCATGTCACCAAGAGTCTCCAACCATTGGTTACGATAGTCACGCAGACCCCAACCAAGTAGTCTGCATCTACCAACATGGCTCAGACTAGAAGTTAGTGACTTCAAGCACTGATGACGGATATCTCGCCTTCTCCATAGGTGACGCAAGTTGGCAAAAGCCAATCGAGCTTTTCGAATCCGTGCTGAGATTTCGTCCGATACTTAAACCTCATGAGTATGGGTTTTGTTCCATTTTTATCTTTCGCACTCTCGAAATATTCAAACCAAATTTGCTTCTAACAACTCATTATCGTTAATGTAGTTCATGATACTGTTCAGTACAAACAAGCGTTTTTATATCTTCATCTAATTTGTTTCCTCTTTTGTTTAATTTCTGTATTCATTAATTTTTGACGAGCGACGTGTGAATATATCACTGACTTTTTCTTCTGTCCGTAGCTGCTATCTTGACGTGGTGGTCGGGCTTGCCTATCGTGATGACCCAACGAAGCTATATTAGCTGAAATATATATTTCTGTAGGTTCTACCATGCCAGTCAGGTCGATTGCAGAACGGTAAGGCTAAAAGCAGCAACTCACGGTTTGAGGGCGAAGTCGTACTGCTGACTGTAGAGTAGTGTGACAGTAGTAAGGTGTTTCCCTCGGGTAACCAGCATCTGCAGCGACTCTGCCTTCTCACAAGGAAGGAGGAGGTTAGAAAAGGTCGACCCTAAAAATGTCACACCTCACCTTACCTCACGGATCTCCGTCTCCGGCGGTAAGGCCATTTATAGAGTGGAGGTAACACGTTAAAAACTTCCCACAAAACGGCCGTGCGCGACCGGCCTCAAGCAGTTGTCCCTTGGGCCCTGCGGTTACGCTACTAGGTCGTTAGGACCAACGCTAATCTGAATTCCTTCTCAGGTTCTCCAAGAAATACCCTTCCACGGTGTGGGCAGCCGGGAAGTGACATCAGCCCTCATACCCGTAACAGCAAATGAGACCAAGGTTTTCACACTCAAATCCTTTATACACCTCCTAACAACTCTCTTATCTCCACGACTAACCCTTCTCGCGTTCCTTTATCACCTCGCGCCGCTAATGCAAACGATTAAAGTACGCGGAACATTATTCCTGGTCTCCTAAAACTACTCTCTAAACTACACGTAGGAGCTTTTAACGTCCGAACAATATGCCACATACGACAACAGACTTCCTTAGCTAGGACTTTAGAATCTCGCGCCATCGATGTGTGCTGCGTCTCCGAAACGCGCATACAGGACTCGACTAGTGTCATTTATTTGACCTCACCATGTCAAGATAAAGACGCATCTCGTTTCACGCTTCGTGTATCTGGAAGCCCTGATGCTGCTTCCCGTGGGCTCGCTGGTGTATGTATAGCATTGAGTCCTAGGGTAGAACCAGCTCTCTTGGATTGGAAAAATTCGAACACTTCACTTCTATCTGAAGTTTGTGCTGATGATGTTCAGAAGAACGATGAAAGCTCTACGGCCAAACCATCCAGCTCAGAAAGCAAAACTCCATCAAAATCACCCACCTGAGCTACAAATCTTCTCCACCAGCTCTGATGTAGTAATAGTGGCTGGTGACTTTAATGCTCATGTAGGTAAACTAAGCGATAGGGAAAGACACCTGGGTGGATCTTATAGTGTCGTGGCTCAAAGAACAGATAATGGCGACCGTCTGTTGCAGCTATGCTCAGATAACCGCCTGTTCCTTGCAAATACTAACTTTAAGCATAAAGAAAAACACCTTTTGACATGGCGATCCCCTAATTCGTCCCAACTTTGGACTCAAATAGATCACATCGCTATCAACCACCGATGGAGGGGCCCGATAGAAGGCTATCACTCATTCTGGAGCACATGCTTAGATTCAAATCATGCTCTAGTGCGAGCGCGTATCTGTCTGCGTTGACTGGACGTAGGAAAGACGCTGCAAGGAAACCTCTTAGGGTCCTACTTAATGATAGACAGGCTAAGAATACATTTCACGAACAACAAGAAAAACAGTTGGACAGCCATGTAAATGATGCCCACCCTGAGGCAGCGTGGAACGATATTCGAAAAGCTGTGGAAACCGCAGTGATATCCGCTAATAAGGTAAACCATAATGTTAGTGGGAAACATTGGATCTCAGTAGCATCTGCCGCACTGATAGATGCCCGAAAATCCATCTCATCTGGCTCTGAACATGACGAAGAGCGGAGTCAGCTTAAGTGCAGGATGATAATAAACCCACGCAACGATCGTGAACAGTGGTGGGTAGCGAAGGCAGGAGAGATGGAAAAGGCAGCTGCAATAGGTGACATCAGACAACTGTTCAGACTTGTCATGGAAACCGGTATTATGGATCTAACTGTTTGCGAAACTATCTCGGAAAAAGATGGATATGTTATTCATTCTCAATCCAGGAGACTGGATTGATCGGCAGAACACTTTAGGGATCTGTTCAACTGGCCTTCAGCCACACTTCGGTTTCCCACGATCTCCAGTCAACCTGAATGGCAAATGAGTGTAGGTCCTCCGTCGCTTTACGAAGTTGAAAAGGACATAGGAAATCTGAAGCGAAGGAGAGCAGCAGAGCCTGACAGGTTCACCCCTGAGATTTTTAAGGATGGTGGTCCAGTATTAGCAGTGAGATTAACTGAGGTCTTAGGTAGAATTTGGGAAATGGACGTAATCCCATCTGACTGGTCTCAATCGCTGATTGTGCCAGTCTATAAGGAAGGACAAAAGTCCTCTTGTGACAATCACTGAGGAATCAGTTTGACTGATATAGTGTCTAAAATATTAGCTTCAATAATACTTCGACGCCTAAATAAAGCTCGTGAAGAACAGACTAGAGAAAATCAGGCTGGTTTACGACCTGGACGTGGCTGCATAGACCAGGTATTCACACTAGGTCAGGTTCTAGAACACAAACACACATTCAGAAGTCCTACAACAGTGGTATTTCTCAACCTTGAGTCGGCATTTGACTCTGTTGATCGTGAGGTTCTATGACAGTGTTTGTCACTGAAAGGAGTACCAAAGAATACATTAACATTATAGAGGCTTTCTACTCGAACACAACTGGTAGAGTGAGAGCTTATGGCGAACTGTCATCAGAATTGATTACCTCAAGTGGTGTTCGTCAGGACTGCCTATTCTCTCCATTCTTGTTCAACTTTGTCGTCAACGTACTTTTAGAGATTACACTTTCCTCGTCTAGATTTCCAGGAGTTGAACTTCAACCGGGAGGTTCACTTGTTGACTTAGAATATGCCGATGACAGTTCTATTTGATAAAGACGCTGACAAAATACAGTCTTCTGACTACTCTAAGCAACAATGCAAGCATGTTCAGCATGCAATTCTCTCCCTCGAAATGCAAAATGTTGCTTCAGGATTGGGTTGCATCGACACCTGAACTAATGATAGGGAGTGGAGTAGTTGAGCATGTCGACCTTTCACTTATCTGAGAAGTCTTATCAGCCCTTGTGGTCTGGTGTGTGACGAAATCTCAGCACGGATACAGAAGGCTCGACTAGCTTTTACCAACTTGCGTCATTTATGGCGTAGGCGAGATATCCGTCTACCAACCAAAGGACGTGTTTACTGCGCAGCAGTTCGTTCCGTCCTACTTTATGGCAGTGAAACATGGCCGGTAAGAGTAGAGGATATTCGTAGGTTACTAGTATTTGATCATAGGTGTCTTCGAAACATTGCTCGTATATCCTGGGACCATCGAGTAATTAATGCAGTTGTTAGGAAACGGGTTGTAGGTAAGGATGGCAAATCAATTGATGACGTAGTGAAACTTCATCAGTTGAGATGGCTGGGACATGTGTTACGTATGCCCAACCACGGACCGCCCTGACGTGCGATGTTTTTATGGTGTAACGAATATTCGGATTACTGTGATTATCATCTACTTCTAGTATGTTACACAATTCTAAAACTAATTTACCTCAACGATTATTTCTACGTTTATGTATAATGCTTTGATCCAGACATATAAGTGTTAGAGTTATTACTGACATTTCAAACTGGTATATGAATAGTTAGAACTGGAATTTTATACTATTGTGATCATAGCAATCAATGAAGATGGATACTGTTCAAGAATTTTGAAAGAAATCACGAATAATTCTCCTATATTCATTATTCTATGATTTTCTAGATTATGTTTATCTATCATGAAAAATATTTTCTATCTACTCTAATCTCTACAAACTACTTCAATAAACCAAATTATTGACGAAAATTAATTTTTCATCTAACTTGATTGATTATCATATTT